CCCCGCCGCATCCCACACACCTTCTGTCTTTGGGGATAAAATGGGCAAACTTCCTGTATCGTCTTTAATTCACAAGCAAAGTTTCTTTATTACACACAAATCAGGTTGAGACAAAAACAACAATGACTAAAATTGATGCCCTTGGGATGAATAGATTCGCTGCAGTGCAGTGGGCTTATTCAATGTTCAAGATCACAGGTTACTTGAATAGATGAAATAGTTATCTTAAACAGTGCTGTTGCTGCAGGTATAACAAATGTGATGCACCGGTGCTGGGAGGTGCATTTTAATTCTAAGGAAGATATTGTAGATCACCAGGGTCGTGAGCGGCAGAATAACCCCAGGTTCATCAAGTCACACCTTGAGAGAGAATCACCAATTTTTCCCTTCACAGTCGCGGTAGAAGGACAGAGGCAGTGTCATCTTTCAGCTATATTCTGAAGAAATGATTCCACATTGCTGGAAGACAGACGAAGAGAGCTTGCTACATTACGACCTCATGATGGGATGATGCAAGTTCACAGTAAAAGTTTAAGGGGTTTGGGGCATCCAGGATATATGGGTTTTAAAATGCTGACCAATGTAAGCTCCATTTAATTGAGACCAAGATATGCGGGGGATCTTTTTGTTGGCATGTAATCACCACCAATCTCCATTTAAAGCACTTTAACAGCAGATACTGTGTTACCACAGTGCTTGCAGTGGATGTAGAAGTGGCCAACTCAGGTGTAGTCAGTACCTTGAAATCACTAGTTGGGCATTGGCTTAGTAGAAGAGGACCCTGGCTCCCTCTGTAGTTGTAAAAAGGTTCATTCTAAAGTCCGCCGGTAAACGAAAACAACATTGGATTTTTTTCAGGTGATTATTACCACTAAATTGGAAAATAACTATCGACACTATTATATTCCATTCCATTTCTGACAGTAGATCCTCCCTTTAACACATTGGTTTACCACTATATGACCGTTCTTTAATGTTCTTAATCTGTAATTATCTCATGGGGGACGCACTGAGCGGTGCAACAGCATCAAGAGTAGCAGTTTACTAACCAAAGGTCAGGGGTGAAGGGTATTAGTGCAGAGGGACAGTTAAAAAAGATGCTGCTGTATATGCACACAACCAGCTGTAGGCTGTGGAACCAGTGAGCCTCTGGGCTTCATTTGTAACAAAGGTCATGGCTTTGGTTTCTGTGGCACATCAGCTACACCAGTATACAATAGCTTTTTCCAGACACTCTCCTTCCAGAATGGAATGGGGGGATAATGGTTCAGTTATGTGAAAACATCTTAATCATTTTATAAAGTCCAGTTTTCTTCTAATGACTTCCCTCGCTCCAATATCCATAGTCACTCTGGAAGATTTCTCTTTAAAAGGCTGATGCCAACTTAATGTGTGAGTTGTAGCGTAACTTTAACAAAGTCTATGCATTAAACAGTGAAATCAGCTATGAAATCAGAAAAATAACTTACTGGTATGAAGACTCCTGATTGGGAACACCTGAAAATTCTCTGGCAATTGTTTCTGGTGATTTCATTAACTGTGGTTTTTGTCTATAAAATGGGATGATGCTGTAAGGTGGATCCTTGTACCAAAATCTAGTTCAAGCTCTTAACCTTCATTATATCAGCCAGTATTAAAGCTGCACTAATCAATATTTGTATATTAACAATGGGTCAAATGTCTATGTGTAACGTGGATGGGGTCACTTATAGCTCTGTTTCCCTCAGCTCATCGGAGCTGAGGCAAACTTTCTGCTTTTTGTTTTTGTTTTTATGGCCCGTAAATTTCCTGCTCAGTACCATCAGCAGACAGCTCTACTACTGAGCATTTATCAGATAAAGAGCCAGATATTTTTCTTAGGAGTTGGTAGAGACCAAAACAGAGCTAAAAGGAGAGTGAATATTGGATGGATGTGTATATAGGCTACTGTTCTGCTGCCCCCAAGTGGCCTACAAATCAAGATACTGTGCTGAAATAGTGCATATTCTTAAATTAAAGGACCAGTGTAGCCATGTAGTTGCAACTCCCTCACTTCAACCTCCTCTTCCAAAGCGCAAGGGGAGAAAACTTTGGTGGTGGTGAAATGGTGTGGAAAAGGTGAACTGCTTACTGGCAGGAAACATGTTTGGTTCAAACCATTTGCGTGTCTGTTAGATAAAACAGCTCATTCTAAAGGTAACGGAAAACACCCAACACAATTCTTATTTTCAGGGTTATTATACACTAATGAAAAACATACCTATAAAATATTATATTTCTATGTCTGACAAAAGATTCCTCCTACAATTGTTACACACTGGACCTTTTTAATCTCGTTGAACGTTTTTTGATATTTAAGTTTGAAAAAGTTGGGATTATTTAAGAACTCCTTTTTTTTGCGATGGATCATTAAATGATCTCTTTATCTCTGGTAGAACAGGGCTTTTGGCCAGGCTACGAGGATATCGAACCGCTGTTGGACAGCTGGTGGAGGGAGGGACAAGTGCTCCTTGCATGGAACAAAACACAAGGGCTGACACCACGCACGAATATAACCCACTGCCTTAGAACCTTTTTAACAGCTGATTATGATGCACACATGATACTCACAGGTATTATCACATCGGTGTAAGATGCAGGTGATAATGTTATAATGCTCAGCATTTCTGCCTCTGGATACCCACCACTTTTTAATAGCTTATCAATTTTACTTCTTTATACATAGGTACTTGTGTTCTCCCCACTCCACTTGCCTCTTTTCCTCCACTGATGGTGCCTCCATAAATTTGAATTTTTGTATGATACTAAAAGTTTTTTTTTCCGATATAATTTTTAATAACTTTATAGTGATATAGATCTTTGGTTTATAGGACTACGTTTTTTGACAAGTTTTCAATGTGTACCATGCTGGATGTTGCAAGAAGGTGTATGGGATGGTTGGCAGGATATAAATTTCTTGTTTGAATGTAAATTGTAAGAACTTGCTACTCTTAATCAGAAGTCGAATGAAGTACCATTGTCGGTGAACATACTTAAAATTTGATACGAGTATCAGTATTTTTGCAAGGATGGCAGGCTATGTTATATACAACTTTAACTGTAATTCAGATGGTTTTTTAAAGACATATTTACTGTTTTAAACTTCAGCTTGTTACATAAATTTAATTTCTAGGAGATTGGGGGAGTTATTTACTACTTATTTGGGATGACACCTTAAAGGGGTTTTGTTATTGCCCTAAAATATGTTTCAAACTGTGGTTTAAAACTGAAGGAAACGTAGGCGCTCCCGATGTACAGGTGGGGTTGTGTTGCGCTTTTAATAGCAGCTTTGATTGGTAACACAATGGCCCCTCTATGAATTTTTTTCAAGTAAACTACCACAGTTGGGATGATTTTTTGTACAAAACTAAGTTATGTGGGCAGTGATCAGTATTTTTCTCTCATATACTGTACACCTATTTCAAATACATGTAATTTAAAAAAACAAGTATTAGACTGCTCCTCATCCGTTACCTATTTATATGTCTTCGGCGCACCCAGATTAAATAACTCAAACAACCTTCATACACTGACGCGGTAAAACATGAGACCTTAACCTTGTTGGAGGCCGACAGCCGGCACGGCATTTGAACAAACACTTTTTCTTTTTTTTTTTCCCCCCCACCAAAGCACGTGAGGCGCGTGGGAGGAACGCGCTAGCCGGTAGCGCTTGAAGTGACTCTCATCGAAGTCTGTCGAATATGACTGGAGTGTGAAAGTGGTTGGAGATAGATAGCTGCAGAATAAACCTTATCCTTACCGCTTCAGGCTGGGCAAGCTGTCATTTGACTGGTCACACCACAAACAACAGACACTTCATTTTGACGTATTATTTGCATAGAAAAGCCACTGTCTGGTGTACTCACATGAGCGAGACCGAGTCAGTTTTGAGCGTCAGAAGACAAGCTAGACCCAGAGGGATAAGATAATTAATCAAAAGCCAGAAAAATCATGAATTCGATTACGCTAGCATGATGGGAGAAGAGTTCACCCTCAGTTTTAATTAGTCCAGCAGCCAATTTTAAAACCAGAGGATAGAAAAACGATGACCTAATATGACATGGTAAAACGGAAGAAGAGGCCAGACTTTGGGCTTTCACTTCACAGTTTGGGTAATTTTTGTTAATTCACTCGTTCAGACTCCAATATTTCATATACAAGCAGTCCCTCCAACCTAATTCAGGCCATACCAAATTGGTAACTGGGGACTGATTTTTTATGGTAACGTTTAATAAATGAAGGGGGGATTGGATCCCAACGTTACATGCTATGGCTGGATATGGCTGGAAGGGCTGAAGGTTGTAAGTGTAGGCTTGTTGCCGGTGCAGAGCTTGTGGACGCGGCGGCGGCGGCGGCGCACAGCAGAGCACCAAACCCGGCCAACTTCACAGCAAAGCTGCCACTACTGCACCTCAAACCAGCCATGTCGGAGCGAAGGAGGAGGATCTGTGGATTTGACAGCGCTCAGTCTTACTACTACTGAGCGTGTGTTTGTGTGTGTGTGTGTGTGTGTGAGGGATAGGGCTGCTTCTCTGGTTGTTTGGATATCGCCTTCATGGACGGGCAACGGGGCTTTTACGAGATGGAGAACCCGACAGAGAACCCCAGCAAGGCGGCGGAGTATCTAAAGGAGCTGAATAAGATCATCGAGACCCAGCAGGGGCTGCTGGAGAAGCAGAGGGTCCGGATTGATGAGCTGGAGCTCCAGGTGACGGATCTTTGCAAGGAAAACGCCTGCCTGAAGGATCAGCACCAGCGGCACCTGGCCACCTGCAGGCTCCAGCAGGGCACCCTCTCCACCCTGGGAGCCATCAAGGAGAATGTCATGCAGGAAAAGTAAGTTCGCTGTTAATGTGTGCCACATGGTTCGGCAGAACAGGGCGCTGTCAAAGTTTATATCCCCGCTTCTGGGTGTTCGCGGAGGCTGGAGAGAGGGAGTGTGTGGTGGGCGGCTGGTGTTTATCCGTGCCATCTCCGTCAGGTGGAACCACGCAGCCAAATCAAACGCACACTTCTCTGCCACTTTGTCACAGATCGGCTTTTTAATGACCCGTGTAATTTCGACATTGTCAGGGATTATTCCGGGCTCACACACACGCTTTACACGCGTATTGCGTAATGTGGATCCCGTTAGGCGCACACTGAGTGTATGCGCACCGTGAATATTTTAGTTCTGGTGAGAGCAAACTGTATCAGACCGTCGTGGTAAAAGTCCGTATCAGTGGGTGTGACTTTGTTTTTATGGTGGCAGGAGAGGAAATCGGCTGTCTGTCAGAAAACAAGTTTTTGCTCCTGCGGGTTGGTTGAAGTCCACCTTGCTTAGGCAGACATGATCAGGGGATAATGATGTTAATGTGTACAGCGGCGTTGACTGACTTATTTTCCTCACCACCATAGAAGGCTTTTAATTTGAAGCGACGTAGTTGCTTTGGAGAGCTGCCCACTGCTACTATCAGGATTGATGTTCCATCAAGGCTGCCAAAACCTTTCAGGTTAATTGTTTAATAAATGGAAGTATCCATGCAGGCGATGCTCATTTCAGCAGGAAAATGCATCTAATTTCTGACTGCATCTAACAGAAGATAGAATCATGAGTGTGATATTGTGTAATGTTCCATCCACAGGAGCAGGCAGACTGCTTTAAAGCAGCTTTACACGTTCTTAGGTCACCACTGGCCACTGTACATACAGCACACTGCATGTTCTGAGCATTTTAAATTCATGTATTTTTCTGTTTGTTGAACTTTACAGTAATATCCAAGGTGGCGATACTTCACATTTATTACATACATGGATCTTTGACAGATTTTTATGTGACATGATATGATATGATATGATATAAAGATCTGGATACATTTTCATAAACTTGGATACCATTGGATCTTTTTCCGGATGCAGGTGCTTTTTGTCCAGTGTTTGACCACATCATTAGTCATCACGCCATGTAGGGATGTGTACTAGCAAGAATATGCCCATATGATAGGTATCACGATAGAGATGCAATGATTAGTCGATTAGTTGTCAACTATTAAATTAATTGCCAATTATTTTAACAGTTCATTCAACTGTTTTAAGTAATTTTTAAGAAAAAACGTCAAAATTCTCTGTGAATATTTTCTGTTTTCTTCAGTCCTCTGGCAGTAAACTGAATGTCTTTGCGTTTCTGACATTTTATGAACCAACAGCTAATCAATTAATCAAAATGATCAAAAGATTCATCGATAATGAAAATATTTGCAGCCCTATACCACAATTCACCGGTTATGATTCAATATATTGCGATACTGTAAGCATAGGGATATACTGCGATTGTTAAAAACACTTTATGTTTAAAATCTGAGTAAAAAAACCTTTTGCTTTATGCAATCAGAACAGTGGGATGTGCATTTGTTTTTATCACTGTCCCTGTAACATCCAACATCATATAGCATTACAACACTGCTGTCTGGTGGTCAGGGGTTAAACACAAAATGAACCGCTGGCATTAATCTTCGTAAACTATTAATTAAAAATCCAGTATACAGTATCACAAGTGATAATATTGTGATAGTCAGCTGTATCATGAATGCCATGTAGTGCTGGGAAATGTATATAAAATCACATTATGTGTATCATGATATTTACAATTTTCTATCACATTATCAGTTAGCCCTGATCCAGGACCAGCGTTCTCTGGTTGCAGCTTCTTCAATGAGAGGATTTGGTTTTTTTTATGTTTAATGTTGATGTCAATTGAACTTTCAGGGTTTTAGTCTGTTGGTCCGATGACATTAACAGCTTCAAGAAGTCGTCCTGGACTCTGGGCAGTCTTTGATGAGGATTTTTCAGCATTTTCTGACATTTTGTAGACTTAACACACACAGCCCTAATCCCAGTGAATATCAGCCCTGATCATGGACCGTATTGCTTATCTGCGTCCTGCACGGTTGTCACCAAGAACTCAGACACATTCAGTCACAAATCCACTCAGTAAAATTTGTTACTGGAAGAATGTTGACGTGCTGTGAAAAACCAACGTCAGTCGGCTGCAAAGTAATGCCAGACATGACTTATAATGTCAGAAAAGGGTTTTTCATTCAACATTCTCCCCATAACAAATTCTATTAATGGATGATTGAAATGTCTGAGTTCCAGGAGAAATCCATGCAGAATCAGGATACGCAGTATGGCCCTGGATTAGGGCTAGAAATTGTTATGTATTGGGATTAGAGATCTTCATTTTTCATTAATCTGTTGTTGTTTGTAAAGGTTTTTTCTATAAAATGCCCTTTAAAATGTTCTGATTCTTCAGATTACTTTTTTAATCAACTTTATCCAACTGACTCTCTTTAACTTTATCTTAATTAATCTATTAACAAAATTGTTGGCAGTAAATTTTTTGTTAATCAACTGTTACAGCACTGAATTGCATATGGTTGAGGACACAGTTTAAACAGTGGTTTATTATTGCACTTTCACATACTGACAGATTTAAGAAAGAATGGTAAAAATAAAAGCAAGAGATGCAGAGATATCCTGACTTTAATAATCTCTAGAACGGATCAGGCTCCAAAATGTTGAATCCTGCATTTCCCATAATGCACTCACATTAGGCATGAGACGACAGTTGAGATACACAGTATTATCACAGTAATCATAAAAATATACGTCATACTTTTAAAATGGCACTAAAATATACTGGAAGCACTTGGCCCATATTTATATTGTCATCGGTGTGATAGTGAACCTCATTTCTGCGATGTTCTTTATTTTTGGATACGGTCGTATCTATCATATCAATTATCTATCATTCTATCTACTAATCTATTCTATCTATCATATCTTCTATCTATCTATTGCACACATTGGTGGAAGTTTTTGTGGATAAGCATGGGCAGGCTGGAGCATTCAGCCATTGGAACCTTTAGATTGCTGGAAGATGTGAGCTTCCCCCTTGTTCCCTTGTTTTCTTAATAAAAATCAGGAAATAAATATAGGACTGTAGGCTGGAGAGCTGGACAGCTTTTTCATGTCAAGCCATGTGAGGATATTCACCATTATCCCGATTATCATCATGATGTTTTTTAATGTGATAAGCGGTAATATCATATATTGCCTATCTCTAATCACATCTTGATTAGACCCTCCTGGCCTGCTAAACCGGCACCTTCACTCTGATACAGACTTTATGTAAAAAGAAAAAAGTCATAATCGTAAACCAGGATAATCCCGATGACACTATGACATCATTGCGGTTATGTTTTTTTTCAGGCTTTGGAAAACTCCCTCTGGACATTAAACAGCTGTTTTCACGGACTGTGTGGTACTGTGATGAGTAAACTGAACCTCATGTGTAAAATCAGTGGAGTGCACCTTAAGGAATGAAAGCACTTTATCACATTGATATAAAAACCCTGTAAATCCACTGTTACCATAAAACCGCCCTGCCTACTGATTTGCAACTCTGCCTGCAGTGGTCCAACACAACCTGCCATATTAGAGGTAGAAACAGTACGTCAAAATCTCTGACATCTGACAAATTTCTACGGCCTAACTGTACACCAGCTGGTGCCGCGATGGTTCCCTCCGTCCTCCCCCTGCCTCCCCTGCCTCCCCCTGCCTCCCTGGCTCTGTGAGTATAAAACGGCAGCATCCTGTGGCTCTATAGTCTAACAGATAGTTAGTTTCTGCAGATGATCCCAGCACAAGTTCAGATGCCACTGGTTACGCTGCTGCTGCTGAAAATACTGCCTTTACAAAATGTGTTTCTGCTCTGTGCAGCTGCATGTACAGCAGCAATAACCTGCTTCAGTTTATTTGCGGCGAGTGCAATACTGTAAGGCCTTTTTAACCTATGACATCATTATCATATTTGCTCGCTCATCGTTTGCGCAGGCTATAAATAGCTATCAGTGCGGAGAGAAAGGAGGACGGGAGCTGGTCTCTCTGGATTTTCCATTCTGGCGTGGCCTTTTAACACCTGAGTGGCAAAGCATGCAGATTTGTGTTTGAATTCTCCTGACGTGGTTCAAAATCAAGCAAATATTTTTAGTTAAAAGCACTTCCTGTGCACACGCATGCACACACAGCTGAGAGGGAGTCCTGTCCCTTGTGCTCTGTCAACAGTTGGGCCACGTCAGCTGTTCCTTTTGTGTTGACCACAGTCAGCATACAGTCCTGGCCTTGACTGCAGGGCCGGTGGGGGAGCTCTGTTCCTCCCAGGCCCTCTGACACACACACACAAACAGTATAATGTTAGGGTGACCTGTCTTGCTGCGTGGGGACAGACTGTTACTCCAGATAATCAGTGAAGTGAGTGAGAGAGATTTAAGCAGATTTCAGGGCAGTTTTGACAGAGTGGGAGCATGTTGTTCTCACCACACTCTGCTTTATGAGCTAATCCGCTGTGGTAGGTCTGCTGTTCTGTGTTTACTCTGTGCTTTATTTGGCTGTTAAAGTTCACAACTTGCACAAACTCACACAGTTCTTATCAAGGTCAGACTGCGTCTGTTGGGAGATATACGACCTGGAACAGTGGAGGGAAAAAAGGATTCCTTTGGCCGTTTGCTTTGAAAAAACACTTGCGTCATTAGTGTTCAGGATTACTCAGTCGCATGCTGTAGCATATTATTAAGAGGACTCGGGGTCAGTGAAAGTGGAATCTGGCTCGCCTTGCGTGCATGGGGCGTGTCAAGACTTTTTAGACTAGGGTGGCTGTAGCAGGACTCGCTACTAACGGGGGTTCTCCCAGCACACAGACCAACCACAGGGATTAATGAACAAGACGACTTTATTCTTTACTCTGCCGCACACACAATTATCACACAACTTAGCCTGCTTCCTGAAGTCCGTTCAGG